CGAGTGAAACTCCATCTCAAAAAAAAAAAAAAGAAGAAGAAGAAGAAGAAGACATATACATGTCCAACAAGCATATGAGAAAATGCTCAACATCACTGGTCATTAGAGAAACGCACATCAAAACCTCAATAAGATAGCATGTCACGCTAGTTCTGATGGCTATTATTAAAAAGTCAAAAAAAAAACAACAGCTGCTTGCATTGCTGTGAAGAAAAGGGGACACACAATGCTGCTAGGAATGTAGGTGAGTTCAGCTGTTGTGGAAAACAGTTTGGCCATTTCTCAAAAGAAGTTTAAACAGAATTATCATTTCACCCAGCAATCCCATTATTGAGTATATACCGAATGGAATAGAAATCATTCTACCAAAAAGATATGTGCATGCTAGTGGCTCACGCCTGTAATCCCAGAACTTTGGGAGGCTGAGGTGGGAGTATCACAAGGTCAGGAGTTTGAGACTAGCCTGGCCAATATGGTGAAACCCCATCTCCACTAAAAAATATAAAAATTAGCCAGGCGTGATGGCATACGCCTGTAGTCCCAGCTACTCAGTAGGCTGAGGCAGGAGAATCGCCTGAACCCAAAAGGCAGAGGTTGCAGTGAGCCGAGATTGTGCCACAGCACTACAGCCTGAAAGACAGAGCAAGACCCCGTCTCAAAAAACAAACAACAACAAAAAAACCCAAAAAGAACTTATGTAACCAAATACTCCCTGCACCCCAACAAATTGTGGAAAAATAATAAAAAATTAAATAAAAAATAAGTTTCATTTCCAACTTTGTCAGACTTGTATAACACTGATTTTTTTTAAACGCAAGAAATAATGAAATATAGAAAAAACTCAATCTCCAACTTCTATCAAGCATACTTCACAATAATAAAAATAAAACATCAGCACTTTTCATGTAGTGATAGTAAATTACACAAAATTTCTGAATAATGTATTCCAGTAATATTCATCATTACATATTATATTGAAATATATTAAAATATGAAGAGATAGACCAGGTTAGGAACCTAGTTACCCTGAAAAAGAGAAAATATTTTTTTTAAAAGAAAATATAAAGAGAAAAATAATGTGATCGTAACAATGTGTACGGGAGAAAAATTAATCACCATCATCGTGTCAAATAGGGACAAATGCTTTTTGCGTAAGAAGCTTCCAGCAAACATATATGATATAATCCATTGCCACAGGAGAGAATCAGGAATGACGAGTTCCTACATGGAGAACAAAATGTGAGTTTCTACCCTATCTTCAGGTGCCTTCCCAGAAATGCCCCCAAATTTTCCCAGCAAAAAGCCCATATAAAGCAGTTCCCATTTCCCTCCACAAACTGTGACTCGCAGTGAAAACCACCTTAGATTTTCCTGCAAATCACATTCTTTTCTGGCCTTCTAGAAGATGACAGGAGCCTAGAGAAGGCGGTGCTAGGTGGAGTTACCTGGTGCACGCTTATTGGGATGTGACATTTTGTGGCTATTTGCAAGATCTGTTATCAGTGGTCTTTGCACAGAATGTGCAGTCACCATAGTGCAATAATCCTGTATCTGAGCACCGCACAGGTAACCAGATGTGCTCAATCAGTGTGATCCACATGCTGTGATGTGTGCTGTAGCAGGGCACAGACAGACACAATCAGCTCTGTCAATGTGCAGCCAGGGAGTGTGGCAATGACATGGTTTATTCACAATCGCCATGGAATCTGATGTGGCATTTAAAAAACTGTATGGATCTATATCAAGTGGTGTAAAAACATCACTGATGGGTGAAATCTACTGAATTAGCCAGAAATCTAACCCTGCAAATATATATTTAAATATTGGATAATGAACAGGATATCAGGATGGTGTATATATAATATATATTTTGTATGTGATTTCAGATGCAATTTTAGGTATTCTATGAGATTGTATATGCAGAAGGATACACCTCAAACTGATGAAAATTATAATGTCTGGATATAAATGGCTGCTTTTTATTTTAGTGTTTATTTTATCTTTATGTTTGTTCAGGTGTGTATTAATTTTCTATTTACAGTTGACCACAGGTTAGCCAGCAGTTTACAACAGCGCTGATTTATTTTCTATCCAGTTCATAGATGAGAACTGTGTCAGGTTTTTCTGGGTACTCTGGTCTCCCGAGGCCAAAATCAAGGTCACAGCCATGGGCTCTATTGTTGACGCTCTTGGGGCAGAATTTACTTCTAAGCTCATTCAGATTGTTGTCAAAATTCACCATCGTGCTCCTGAGTTCCAACTACCTCTGCTACTGCATCTCTCTGACATATATTTCTGCTTCAAGGACACACAGGGCCCACGCAGATAATCTAGGATAACTTTCTTTTAGTTTTTAGGTTTTTTTTTTTTTTTTTTTTTTTTTTTTTTGAGACGGAGTTTCGCTCTTGTTACCCAGGCCGCAGTGCAATGGCGCGATCTCGGCTCACCGCAACCTCCGCCTCCCGGGTTCAGGCAATTCTCCTGCCTCAGCCTCCTGAGTCGCTGGGATTACAGGCACATGCCACCATGCCCAGCTGAATTTTTGTAGTTTTTTAGTAGAGACGGGGTTTCACCGTGTTGACCAGGATGGTCTCGATCTCTTGACCTCGTGATCCGCCCGCCTCGGCCTCCCAAAGTGCTGGGATTACAGGCTTGAGCCACCGCGCCCGGCTAAGTTTTTAGTTTTTTGTTTTTTCTTTTGAGGCTGAGTCTCGCTCTGTCGACCAGGCGGGGGCTGCAGTGAGCCGTGATCGCGCCGCTGCACTTCAGCCTGTCGACAGAGCGAGACTCAGTCTCAAAAGAAAAAAAAAAGTCCAATGACTTTTTTTTTAACTCTCATTAATCAGTAAATTACCAGCCAAATTCCTTTTGGCAGGTAATATAACAGAAACACAGGAGTAGCACTCGGAGTTGGAGACCTGCCTAAAACATTATAGAACCGGTAAACTTTTTTTTTTTTTTTTTTTTTTT